ACCTGCCTGCATGTGGTGTACTTACCTACACACAAGCAAAACACTCATACACGTAAAATTTAAAAATTAAGACCATGGTCAGTCCTGTCCCTCTAGCACCCTGCTGGGAAAGAACACTTAGGTCAGAGCACAGCGTCAGCTGCATCAGGCCCAGGGGTACTGGCTTAGCCAGTCCACTGGGGAGTCGAGTCGCTGTGCTGCAGCTGTCTTCAGATGGTGAGATTGAGACTGCACAGAGCACAGCCTTGACCCTGGACTCAGAGGGTCCAGTTCTGCTGGAACTGCTGTGGGGAGTGCCCAGACTGGCACCTAAAGTAGCCCAGCAGCATGTGGTAAAAGTTCCGGGCTTTTTGGCTGTTCTGGTGAGCCAGAAACATGATGATGGCAAAAGAAGCCCCTCATTCTGCCTCTCTGCTCATTTACTATGAGCTGTGAGATTCTTCCCAGTCAGGAAGGATTCACCAGTGAGTCTAATGAGGAGTTAGGTGTCCTAAAAGTGATGCAGAGCTCTCGGGCCACAGGGCACAGCTCTGTAATGGTCCACTGTTGACCAAAATTACGCAGTGGGACTGTATTCACTTACATCAGTTCTAGTTACTTTCTCTTGCTGTGACCCCCCCCCCAAAAAAAAAAACTGACCAAAACCAACTAGGGTAAGAAAGGGTTTATTTTATCCTTCATGTCCCAGGTCACAGTTCATCACTGAGGGAAGTCAGGGTAGGAACTGGAGGCAGGAGCTGGAGCACAGGCCTTGGAGGAACTCTGCTTGCTGGCTTGCTCCCCCAACCTGACCTGTGCTCAGCCTGCTTTCTTATACACCACAGGCCCACCTGCCCAGGGGTGGCACCACCCACAGTGGGCTGGACCCTCCCACATCACTCAACAATCAAGAAGATGCCCCTCAGACATGGCCACAGACCGATCCAATGGAGGCAATTCCTTAACTGAGGTGGTTTCTGCCCAGATGTGTCAAGTTAAGTACTGAATCTATCTAGGACAACATCTTACCTTGAAAAAGAGATGGAAGCTGGGTGTGGTGGCGCACGCCTTTGATCCAGGCACTCAGAGGCAGAGGCAGGTGAATGTCAAGGCCACCCTGGTCTACATAGTGAGTTTTAGACCAGCTGGGGCTCCAGAGAGACCCTGTCTCAAAAAGACAGAGAGAGCCAGAAGGTTGGAAAATTTTCTTAAAAGTTTTCCATAAGGCTATCCATCCCAGGCCTGTGAGACCACCATCATCTTTCCCAGTTAATATCAGCAAACCTTGTGGATGCCTGTAAAAGCAGCAGATGGCTGATTAACAGGTGGCCTCTGGAAGCCAGGGTCTGGGTTTCAATCCTGACTTCCCAATTGGGCCATAATTTATGACCCTTGTGCCTCAGTTTTCCTGTCTGTCAGGTGGAGATGATATGAGAAGCTCCCTCACAGGGAACAAGTGAACTCTGTGTGTGATTGACTATGTATTTTGTGTGAAGCAGCCAGAATAGTAATGCTTTAGACACACAGGTACATCTCACTTGGGGCAAAGTGTGGTAACTCTTGGGGATGAGAGGAACCCAGAGGAAGGGGACTTGCTGGGTATGGGAAAGGAGTTAATGAAGATTTTCTGTAGAAGGTCGCAGAACCTTTGTTGTGAAATACGGTTACGTAGACAGGGAATACAAAGAAGGGGTGTTTCACCAAGAATGTGAGGCCTGTAGGGAGGCTGCAGGGCCTCTGAATCTCTGCTGAGGAGTGCCCAGCAGAGCCCCTGATTTGTTGATTCATTTGTTCAGTCCTTTACTGCTCTTTAGTGTTAGGCTGGGCAGTAGACAGTAGAACAAAGCACATCTGAGCAGAAGCTACAGACAGGAATTTCTCCCAGGGGTCGGTCATCAGAATCACCAGAAGCCAGCTGTTACCTGCTGAGGGCAGTGTGATGGGATTGCATGACACAGAGCCACCTGCCAGGTTCACGTTCTGGCCCTGCTACTTAATCCCCATGAGCCTTGGGCAAGTGTGTGCCTGGGATACCAGATAGTAGACTATCATGTCAGCTGTGGGTGCGTAGGGTGATGTGACAGGCGCTTAGGCCCTGATGGAATGGAGCACGTGCACTCTTGCTGAGGACGCAGTCACACAGGGTTGTGCGCAGCTGTCTGGAGCATGCGTCCTCATTCTTCCCTTTTCCCAGACCGGCCCATTCCTTCAGGTCCATCAAAGGTTCCTTCCTTCTAGGACCCACCCTGTCTGGATCCCTAGAATTGCTCTTGTTCTCCCTCCCGTGGAGTGCTGGCTCTGTCCTTAGTGCGTTCTCACTGGAGGGTGCACCACCACGATGGTGACTCTCATCCCTTTCCTCATAGCAAATGGTTAGTGTTCATCACATGTATCCAAAACCATGAATGATTGAAAGATGAAGGTCATTTAGCAAGCTGATACGATTTTGAGTCTTTCTGAATTTGATTATATGCTCAATGGTTGAATGTTTCAAGTGCTCTGAGCACATAGTGGTTTTTACCGTACTAGGAAGGTAGCTGGGTCTCCAGGTGAATGCTGCCTTCACAGGAAGTAGATACGCTTGTTGTGGTTGCATTTTTCTGTAATAAAAGTCATGGCTTGTTCCCAGACCACCTCAGCTGGCTCTGGAAGCTGTTGTCCAGTGGGTGCGGGGCCCTCGCAGGAACGTGCGCTAACGCGGTCAGTAACGCATGTCTCATTCATCTTAGCACGCTTTCCTGGCTCAGTCCATTGTCCCAGTTGTGTACCCCAGTATCAGCCTCAAGCCAGGTGGGCTTTAGGAAACAGGTTGGAAATCCAGAAATACCCCCAGGAGTTTATAGCATATTTTTAAAAAAAGATCCTTAAAAAAACAATCTCTGTGGCTCCAAAGGCAGCTCCCTCTGCCGAGTCTTTCCCCAGTGCTTTCGCTCTGAGGTTGGTAGTTTTCAGAAAGACTGCAATGCAGCGGCTAGCAAAGTCCCTGCTAAGCTGGAAAGCACCCGAGGGGGAGTTCCTTGCTCCCCTTCTTCACACTGCTGCCTGTGAGCTGGAGGGTTAGATGATGGGGATAGGACTCCCCAGGACTTGGCAGTTCGTGATTAGCATGCAGGCAGTTTTGTGAATGCCATGGCCAGCACAGGCTTGTCCTGCAGCTCTGAGTTTCTGGTGCAGTGGGCTTTCCTGGGAATGTGAAATTGAAGATGCCTTTGCAGCTTGTGTCCAGTGATTTGGTTTTCATGTATGTGTTCTGACGGTGGATTATACAAAGGTAAGGGACTTGAAAATCATCCATGTATGTATATTTTAACTGTTTGTCAATCTCCAGAGTCAAAGTAAGTGATTACGATTTGACTAGCTCTCATCTGAATCAGAAATAAAACTTTGTATCTTGTTAATGGCAGTTTTGACATTTGAAGAATTATCTTATTTAGTATGGACAAATGAATTAGTGAGGATGGTCTTTGAAGAGATGGGCTTTTCCTTTGGCTTTCTAAACATATTTGAATTTAAGAGATGTAGATACAAATTATAATATATTTGTTTCTTTTAAACTATGACAATTTCATTAATCTGTCACAGAGCATTTCATTTTTGTACCTTCTTAGCCATATGACAGTAGATGATGAAGTCCAGTTTCCTTCATTCTTATTTTGCCCTTGGATGAGCATTTTCTCAGATGTGGAGCTTGGTGCTTATCTGTGGGGTGAGCTGTCCTTGGGGTGAGCTGGGTAGGACCCCAGCTGTTCCTTGTACTTCGCTTAGAGGGAGGCTAAGAGTCTCAGAGTGGTTTTGCTGTGAATTGGTGGCCCCAAACTGTTTAAATGCATTATGGGTAGTAAATTTACATGTCCAACACCAAGAAATATAATGTCAAGGTTACCATGGTAACTGCATGTGTTCGGGAAAGCTTGTGAATGGATTCTGAACCTCCTGGCATTTTAAGTGAGATTTTTTTCCAGCTGAGAGCCTGCATTCATGATTAGTGTAAATAAATTTGGCTTTCTGTGGGAAGCACACCCTCTCTCTCTGCTTACCAGAGTTGGCTGCTTGGCTCAGCTTTTTCTCTGGTGATATCTACCTTGTCTCTTGGTTCCTGACCAGGCTATGGTTGAGAGTGTTTCCAGCCTCAGGGTGGGAGCTGTCTCACCACCACAGGGAGTGGGCTCTGTAAGATGGGGCTGGCAGTGGTTGACACCACCAAAATGTACATGTATTGGTGTGGTCTTGGTGGAGCTTTCTGTCATCTGAAGAGCTGCTTTCCAGAGAGCATCCAAGGCTCCAGAGAGCCTGACTTGCTAGGAGACTTCCTTGCTAGTGTTCAGGAAGTTGTGATAGAGCCATATTTAAAAGATGAAGCTTGCCAAGCATGTTGGCGCACGCCTGTAGTCCCAGCACTCGGGAGGCAGAGGCAGGCAGATCTCTGTGAGTTCCAGGACAGCCTGGTCTACATAATGAGTTCCAGGACAGCTGGGGCTACAGGGAGACCCTGTCTCAAAAAGACCAGAGGGGGAAAAAAAAAGGTGAAGCTTATGGAAGTGATAAAGGAGGGCTTGTTATCTTCATTGTTGAAGAATTGTTGGAAATATTTATAGCCTAGTTTCATCAAAATCAGTCCCACTGTGCATTTAAACATATTGAGATGGTCTTGTTTATAGCCCAGATAGGCTTGAACTTATTATGTATTCTTGGTTGGCAAACCTGGAACTCTGGATTCTCCATTTCAGACTCTCAAGTGCTGAGATTACCACCTATATTCTGAAGTGTGTGTGTGTGTGTGTGTGTGTGTGTGTGTGTGTGTGTGTGTTTTGAGACATGGTCTCACTGTATAGTCCAGGCTACCTTGAATTCACTGTGTAGCCCAGGAAGACTCTCTCTCTTAGTTAATTAGCATTCAGCTCACATGGTGTAATTTTTAATCTGAAGGTAGACTAGTCTTCAAGGCACTCAGTGGGTTTATCTGTGTTTATCCATAGGTCTCGTTTAGAATCTTTGTCTAATTCAATCCCTTTATTTTACAGATGAGGAAACTGAGGCCCAAAGAAATTACGCCACTTGGTTGAGGTCCCAGAGCAGATCAGAACCAGATCTAGGATCAGAACCCTGGCTCCTGGCTCTCTTCCCCTGAGACTCACTTTCCTGACGACAAGGTTTGCTTTCATGTAATAGTTTCTGTTTTCTTTTGTCAAAAGGAGGCCTTGATAATTGCAGGTCTCTAATTTAGAGCACTCAGATTTAAATTTTTAAAAGTTCCACCTTCTTTCTTGGGTCATTTATTGAGCTGGGTGTGCTGGAGGTATATATCCCTGGAAGCAGAACAGGTATAACATCTGGAGGTGAGCCACCTGCTATGATGAGAGAGCCTTCCAGGGTGTCCAGATCCTGCACTGAAGGGCTGGGGAGATGCTCTGTCACCACACAAGCATGAGGACCTGAGTTTGGATGCTCAGAACCCATGTGAAAAAGCACGGGGGTAGGGGTGGGCACAAGGGGATCCCTGGAACTTGCTGGCCAAGTCAGCAAGCTCCAGGTTCAGTAGGAGACCCTGTTTAAAAAATCAAGTAGACTGCCATGGTGGTACACGACTTTAATCCCAGAGGCAGGTGGATCTCTGTGAGAATGAGGCCAGCTTGGTCTGCATGGTGAGTTCCAGGGCAGTTGGGGCTATAGGGAAACCCATCTCATAAAACAAAAACCAAACAAAAAGGTAGAGTGATAGAAGATGCTGATGTCAACCTCTGGACTCCAAATTCATGTGAACACATGTGCAAAGTATACCCATATGTGCACACACAGGAATACATACAAATTTTTGGTTCAGCACATGCTCAGGTGTACCTTTGTGTGCATAAACACATGAGTACAGACAGAACACTGTACTCAATCGAGGCCGTGATACTGCACTTAGTAGGGCAGGATGACGGTGAGAGTAGGCTCAACCTGTAGGTTACAGCTTTTTGTCACAAGTAACCAGGGGTTATCTTTTCAACAGTTGAAATGTAGATCAATTTTCTAGTCAGATTATGGCTAACCCTTGTTTTTAGTTTTCTCGTGTTCAGAAAAGATTGAGATGTTAGGGGTTGGAGAGATGGCTCAGCAGTTAAGAGCATTGACTGCTCTTGCAGAGGACCTGGGTTTGAATCCCAGCACCCACATGGTAGCTAACAGCCATCTGTAACTCTAGTTCCAGGGTATCCAGTACCTTCTTCTGACCTCTGTGGGCATTGCACAACACAAGTGCGCTTACACACACACACAGGCAATACACTTATACACATAAATAAAATATTTTAAAAGATTGAGATTTTAGTGCAGCTCACTTAGGGTGACAGATTTCCTTCTTCTCCTTCTCCTTTTCTTCTCTCTTTCCTTCACATGCTGTTACCCACTGGGCCATATCACTGGTCCAAACTTTATTTTTCAATAATAGATATATTTTTAAAAGATTTTATTTTTGAATTATGTGTATGTGAACAACAACAACAAAGCTGGGCATTGGTGGCACACACCTTTAATCTCAGCACTTAGGCAGAGGCAGGCTGATCTCTGTGAGGTTGAGGCCAGCCTGATCTGCATAGTGACTTCCAGGCCAACTGGGGCTACAGGGAGACCCTGTCTCAAAGAATAACAACAAAAAACATATGTGTGTAGGTGTGTGCACGAGTGTAGGTGTCCACGGAGACCAGAAGAGGGCATCGGTCCAGTCCTTGAAGCTGGAGATAGAGATAGTTGTGACCCACCTGATGTATGTGCTGGGAACTGAACTTGGGTCTTCTGCAAGAACAGCACATATTCTTAACTGTGCCATCTCTCCAGCCCCAGTAACAGAGTTTGTGCACCATGAGCGCTTGTTCCACAGTGTCATGTCATTCATGAACTGTCTACAAACCCTCCTGTTTAATTGAGACCACTTTCACCAACCTAAAATGATAGGCTGTTAGTTAAAAGTGAAAGATTACCATCATGGTGCGTTTTGTTGGTCTGTGGTCCTTTATGCCGTGGGCCCATCAGGCACGAATTCAAACTAAAGAGCAGAGGTGGTGATCAGAGCCTGAAGTTGGCTCTGACTGCAGCACTGCTCCTATGAATGAGTTTGTGTTGGGCTCTGTGAGAGGGGAGCTGTAAACTGGGTGTTTGGAGGGGGAGGTCACGTTGATGATGGGACGGAGGCCAAACTACAGGTAGAAAGGACATCTGTGGCAGATGTTCAAGGGTTTGGAGCAGTGACTGATTTTATGTGTATGACGTACCTACATAGTCTTCCCTCACCGTGTGTGCATGTACTTAAACTCCTTCCTGCCCTCCGTGGGTGGTATGCGACCTTTTAGTCCAGAACATGCACATTTAAAAGGTCGCATCATGGGCTGATGAAAAGTCGTGGTCCAAAGAGAAAAGGCCTGGTCCTGGCTACACCAGGGTCAGCACGATTTTTCTGTAAAAGACCAAGAAATATGCTTGGGAGTCAGTTCTTTGTGTCAGCTCCTGTGAGACTGGCTCTAACCATGTTTTACATCAAAAAGGAATTCAGTAACATAATCTTACTAAAATCATTCTTTTGTTTAGAGGAAGAAAACATATTAAGAATAGTTTCTTGATTTGTCAAAAAGAGATGAAATTCAGTTAAATGGACAATAAACCACATTTAGATCAGCCTTACATGTGTTACAGAATGACATTTCACAAGCAAATTCATTGATCACACATTTTAATCAACCCTTAGATTGGGGAATACATCCTTTTTTACTCTCTGCGGTAGCCTCTGCTAGGCTGAAGGATGTCTGCTTTCCATAGGGTAAGAAAGGTCATAAGGGCCACAGGGGACATTCCAGATGATGCAGCAGGTAAAGGTATTTGCTGCCAAGCCTGACTACCCAAGTTCAGTTACTGCAGCCTACCTGAGAGAACCCAGTTCCCACAGATCGTCCTCTGACCCCCAGATGTGCACTGTGGCATATGGGTGCACACACATGCATGTGCGAACACACACAAAATAATTTCTTTTTTGCTTTTTCTTTTTTGTTGTTGTCAGACAAGGTCTCACTATGTAGCCCTGGCTGGCCTGCAACTTGCTAGGTAGACCAGGCTGGCTTCACTCTCATAGAGATTCGCCTGCCTCTGCCTCCCCAGTGCTAGGATTAAAGACATGCACGACCATGCCCAGTGTAAAAAAAAATTTTAACTTTAAATTTTAAAAGTTTTCAGTAAGCTGGGCATGGTGGTGCATGCCTGTAGTTTCAGCACTTGGGAGGCAGAGGCAGGAGGATAGCCATGAGTTTGAGGTTAGCCTGGACTTCAAAGTGAGAAACTGTCTCAAAACAAAAATAAAAACAACAACAAAAAATTCCTGGGTATGGTGGATCAGACTTGCAGCTAGCAGTTAGGAGGTTGAGGCAGGAGGATTACCAAGAGTTAAGGACCAGCCTGAACTACATAGTGAGTTTCAAGCTGGCCTGGGCTATAGAGTGAGACTGTGTCTCAAAAAAAGAAATTAAAACCTAAAGAACTGAGAAAACCATGTTCTGGTTGCCCAAGCTGGCCTCAAACTTTTGATCATTGTGCTTCTGCTCCTGCCTAAGAAACTGTCTTGTTTTTGTTTTGATGCTTAGGTTTAGTGATCAGTGTACATTGGTGTAGATGTGAAATTGAACAAAAGGCCCTGATCTGATAGCAGTGCACTGAGGGGACTCGGTGAGGCTCATCCGATGGGCCGAGGGGACTCGGTGAGGCTCATCTGTTCAGGTTCTGCTCAGCTTCTTCATGCAGCATTTCCTCCTCCCAAGCACAGGGCAGGACCCTCTGAGTGGGGAGGGTCTTAGGACCTACTGTCAGATGAGATTTTATGTGGGGTAGAGGTTTAGAGTAATATTTTTAGTTTGTGTCACCTGCCTTGGGGAAGAGGACTTCTGAAAAGGCAGGGGAGGGAAGATCAGAGACTCGTTGCTTTTGAGGATGGTTCTGCTGCCCTGGCCTGCGTCTTTCAGTTCAGAGTGCTCAGCATACCAGAACATCAGACTTCCGGCTGTCATTTTCTGAACACCAACATTTGAATAAATTCTATCATGGCATTGAAACCATATCCCTGTGCTTAGCAGCTGACTTAAAATGTTTTGAAAGAGAGGGTTAGCATGAGGTTCAGGTTGCCACCTGTGAAAAGTTACTGTGATGTTCCAGACTGTGGAAGCTGGTTGAGCGCAGACCCTTCGGTGTGACCGTCTCTCCATCCCCTCTGCCCAGAGCCGCGATGGGACTGTTTGCTTCCAGTCCCAGCTATGGTTCCTGCAGAATACAGGAGGCAGGCTTGGCGCATCTTCTCTCAGAGTTCTCTGCAGCTCCTGGGACATTGTTTTCCCTTTTCTTCTGCCTGAGATTCTGAAGATTTCTAATAGTGTTAAGATCAGCATAGTCCATGGACTTACCATAACTTCCATCTTTATTTTATTTATTTTTTGTTTTCATTTTATGTGTATGAGTCTATTGCCTGCATGTATGTGAGTGCACCTGTGTCATGAAGTGCCTTGGAGGTCAGAAGAGGGCTTCGGATTCCCCTGGAATTGAGTTAAGGATGGTTCGTAGCCACCATATGGGTGCTGGGAATCGAACCCAGGTCCTCTGCAAGAGCAGTCAGTGCTCTTAACTGCTGAGCTATCTCTCCAGCCCCACTTCCATCTTCAAACCTTGTAAAACAACCGTTTCCTGCTTTCATATTCCCTCATCCAAAAATACTGTTAGTACTATTAACTTAGAATGGGTTATTTTTTGGGGGAAAGCCCCAGCAATTGGGAGGCAGAGGCAGGCGGATCTCTGTGAGTTCAAGGCCAGCTTGGTCTACATAGTGAGTTCCAGGACAGCTGGGGTTACAGGGAGACCCTGTCTCAAAAAGACCAAGAAAAGAAAAATTTTTTATTTTAATTTATGTGTATGAGTATGTTGGCTACATGTGTGTAAGTGCACCTAGTTGTGCAGTGCCCATGGAGGTCAGAAAAGGGCTTCAGATCCCCTGTAACTGGAGCTGTGAATGGTTATTAGCTGCCATGTAGGTGCTGGGAACTGAACCTGGGTCCTCTGAAAGAGCAGCCAGTGCTCTTAACCACTGAGCCACTTCTCCAGCCCTAAACTGATGTTTGATACTAAGCTACTTTTAAGTATTTGA